CTGCTAACAATTTGGCACTATGTGCCTCATCCTTGATCGATACTCGAGTGCAATATGACAGATAACATTCGGCACTATGTGTCTCATCCTCAATCAGCATTCGAATACATCACACAAAGCCAGGTCACGAATACTATTTCGGTACTAGGTGCCTCAAACCTGGCCCTCATAGAGGAATTGGTCAGAAAGCTAAGGCACTACGTGCCAGATTCAGGCATAGCCCTCACATCGGGCCCACAAATGACGACATATGACTGAATGCATCATCGGGTATATTTTTTTTACCCATGGCGGAAATCGGTCAGGATTTCCAAACCAGCATTCGATAGTTCACGTGTATCCTAGCAACGGAAATTGATCTCAATCGAGAAACCGGCATATGATATGTCGCATGTGTCGTGACATAGAAAACACGACACTAATTCGGGTATGGGATATATACCTCCCATGTGTCAAAAAATTTGGATCATGACACCCATTCGGGTATGGAGTATATATCTCCCACGTGTCACAAAATTTGGATCACGACACCCTGATCTGTGTTATATTTCACAAACCATGACACGTACCTGAGTATATTATAGTATAATCTAAGTAGTTAATAGTTTCCAGGAAACTATTAACTACTTTACTTATATATAAGATTTAAAGTATATAAAGAAAATATGAAAGGCAAAAAGTGTTTAAAAGAAGATTTTATTAAGAGAGATTTTTATTTTCAATTACAATATGTTGAATTAAGGCTTAAATAACACTTTTATTTATACATTTCTTGAAAATATAATTTCAAATAATAATAATTATCTAATAAATAATAAAATAACAAATAATAAAATGAATGATGAAAAATGATAAATGATGAAAAGTAATAAAAAATGATAAAAAATAATTAAACTAAAGAAAAATAATGAAAAATAATGAAAAGTGATAAATAATAATAATAATAATAGAGAATAATTAAATTGATGAAAAATAATGGAAAGTGATGAAATAATAATAAAAAGTGATGAAATAATGATGAAAAGTGATGAAATAGATATTCAATGAATTATTTTGTTATTTTTTAGAGTTTATTATTTTTTTGAGAATTTTTAATATTTTTAATTATTTTTCGAATTCAGAATTTTCTTTGAATTTATGAAATTATTGTTATTACTATAATAATATAATTCTTTTAATAATAAACTTATCTTGTTTTATAATTTCTTTTATAACTGTTAAAGAAATTCTGTTAAAGATCTTTTGCTATACAAATCTTGTTCAAAGAATTGGAATAATAATATTATTATAAACAATATTTTGAAAATTTATTATCATTTTAGTCTTGATCTTATATATATTATTTATATCAAATATTATAAAACATAAAATTTTTGATTTAGAGTTTTTCAAATTATATTATAAATATTTTTATATGTAAATATTTGTTCTTTAAAGTCAATATTATTTATTATAACAAGATTTTAGATATTATTTTCTTACATTATATAATTTATATTGGATCAACTAATGAATTTTTGAAGTGATTTGTAAAGAATTTTTGTCATTTTATTACTTACTATAAAAATTAATTATATATATCTTACTTTAGAACAATTATATACAAACAAAAACAAATGTTAATTCTAGAATTTCAAGTGATTGTGCAGTAAATAAGCACTCTGTCTCTTGCACAACAAATTACTGATGCATTTTTACTTATACACATACAAAGATGCAAAAAAATGTTATTGCAAAGATACTTAGCTCTTACAATATAGGAATTCAACGGCTCAACTTAATGTTGAAACAAGATATTTATAAAACACAACGACATAATGTTCACGATCGATGAACAAGAGATATTACACGACACATCTGATAGAACTGCGAAAAAAAGATGAGACATTATCTAGGCCAATTGGAATCAAACTTATCAAATGAATTAAATACAATAACGTCTATTGTTATTCAACAAAGCGTACCAGAAGAGAAACGACACAAGCAGAAAAACTTATACTTATTACAATACTGTATCTAATGATCAAATATAAAATTTCATCAGATGCGATTAGAAAAGTATTAAAATATCATATCATGACTCTGAATTTGTGTACCTTGTTATCAAAATTTCCTCACCAATGATTTTAATATTAATTGAGGCGTAAAAAATAAATTAGAAATTTACTTCTTAACTTCCTGTAAATTGATATTGACTTAGAAAAACGGTTGTTAGTAAAACTAACAGTAAGACAATAAAGATTCAAAAAGCTTAGCGTGTTAAATGTAGAGAATTCAAGTCTTGAATTTTTGAATTAGGCGAAGTTGTCGAACCAAATTTTTAGTATATAAATTTTATATGTTGGACATACCGATATTTATAAGGATAAATTGATTACTTTTTAGGTTTGCTCTCATAAAAATTACATTCTCCAGGACATCCACATACAGCTTTTAAGTTTGCAAAAATCGAAAAGGTAAATAAAAATCTTAACTATATTAATACGTATAACGATAATGACAATTTCTTATATCAAGAATGTATGAAGTTCGTGCATGTTTATAACTAAAATTAAATTTAGAGAAAAAACGGGAATACAATATTCTTAGCATTAGGAACGCTATAAATTTATCTGACAAAGCAATTAACGAACATTGTCCTTATCTCGTTACTAAAATTGATCTACAGTACTTAAAATTGAACTTAATAAATATTATATAGACCCATTATAATCACTTTTTCTTTCAAAGGTGCGATTACCATATTTCGCTGTGTAAATCAAATTAAATTAATAATAAAAAGTATTATATCGATATACAGATTTTAAAAACTTGTAACTTTTCAAGAAAAAAATATATTCTTAAAATAGTATTAAACTATAGTAATATAAGAAGTATAATTTTTTTAATGTAAGAGTATTTTTACATTTCAATAATGAAAAAGATTTTATATAAACTTTATAAGAGAAATTTACATATACGTAATAAAAAAAATCTGTGCTTACAAAATTTACTATTGTATCTCAAACAAATTTGATCTATATCGATATAGAATATCTCACACCCCAACTGTTGCATGTACTATGTGAATCTAAAATATATTAAGGAAGTTGCTTATTTCGGAATTTACGGTAACTTAAGTCATGACGTAACTAAGTCGAGTACAACTGTAATTAGTGTTTTTTTATTAATTCTTTTTATATATTTGTCTTGAGTCTAAAAGATTACTTTCTTTCCTATAACCATAGAATAAAAGTTGCACTAAATATTTACAAAGAATCCAAAGCCAAAAATCCAAAAAGAACAGCGAGAATAAATAAACTGCTCTTATGAATCCAAAGTCCACAATTCCTTATAGAAAAATCCGAACTGACCACCATAGGGATAGTCGGACGTATCCCATCAACACTCTGATTCAAGTAAGTATTGAGCTTGTTTGGATTAGCGGCTCCTTCTTTATATGGTTTTCCATCATTCAGACACTCTGTAATCGACATTATTTGTATATTTGGAGTGTTTACGGCAGTCGGAAGAATCACGTCGACCGCTATTTGTACTGTCTCGGACCAAAGATCATGTTGCAATACGATGAATCCAGTGTTCATCGTCGTGGAATTATATAGGAAAGAGTTGTAGTTTGTGATTACTTGTGGTGAATTTTCTTTGTGTCCGTGGAGTTGCCAATCTTGAGTGTCGAATCCCCGAGTCCATATTGAAACTATTTAAGAAAATAAATTTTGCGAGAATCAAATTAAACTCTTTGAATGTGAATAATATACTTACCTATATATCCAAGTTGAGCAGCGATACTACGAACGCGATCATCAATATCACCAAAAGGCTAAGAAAAATTAGCATTCATTAACGTTAGTAGTTGCTATCATTATAAATCACGTTTAGAATTTACCGGTCTCATATAAATAGGAGTGACACCCAACACATCATAAATAATCTTTTGTGTCCATTGTAATTCCGCGACAATCGTTAAATTATCCAAACTTGTTAGACTACGATGTGACCATGTGTGAACTCTTAATTAATTAACTGATCAATTAAAATAGTTAATTATAACAATGGTATGTTGCTCGTTTTATACTCACGCAATATGATGACCTGCTCTATAAGCAGCAATTAATGTCAACGGATGTTGTACTACACGCGATCCAACCACGAAAAGTGTCGAATGTAAAGAGTATTTTTGCAATAAGTCCAGTACTTTTGGTGTATAAACACTAATTTTTATGTTGCGGGAAATTGATAGCTGAATTTTTACTTTTTTCTTGAAATCGAATCCACTTACGAAGGTCCATCATCGTAGCTCATTCCCCATGTTTCCTTTTTAGGACAGACGGTAATGTCAGAAGGTCGTTCACACTTTTGACATGTCCTAAAAAGTAGAATTTCATTAATTTGCTTATTTATTAACCAGCTAATAACTCTAACATCAATGATACCAGTTACACGCGTCCGGTTCAATATCGCCACAATTTCCTGGAATTGTATTTCGAAAATTCGGCACTTGATTCCAATCAGTTTTCTTTGCCCACTCTTGAACAAAAGATGAATTAGTGGGTGGTGGTTGATCTAAGGGCGGATAAGCTGTTGGATCCAAATATCCACGTTGATTTGTAGGTATACTTTTTGATATCATATTATTATCATTATTATTATTATTATTATTATTATTATTATTATTATTATTATTGCTGTTGTTGTGTGAAGATAATATATTTATCGTGTTTGTTTTTGTTGTTATTAACAGTAATAGTATTAACGAGAAGAAGAAATGTGGGAACATATTTTAACAGAAGAAATTAGTCGATGTGTGTAAAAGATAAAGTAGTAATTTTATTTAGAAAACTGCGCTATTGTGTTTAAGCAGAAAGACGATGTATGATAATAAAGAAGGAAAATTGAATTTATAGCAATTTGATTTTTTATTGTTTTTTATCATTTCTTTCGTTCGCAATTGATTAATCATTCATTAAACACACACACATACAAGAGACTCAAGCTTCATTATTTCACACATCTTATAGTTTGTATTAATTTTATGTAATAAATCAGAGCACTAAGAAGAAAAAACAACGAAAGTTTAATTAATTAATTCGAAATCCGCTTAAAGTGAATATAGAATCTCATTTTGAATTAAGTGATAGAATTTCTACCTATTTATCTAAAGTCTTACGTTTCTCACTGGTGTGTAAATAGCAAACAATCAGATTTCTAGACCACGAATAAAATTTTTGTCAATTAATTCTTGATATATGTCGCCTCCTAAGACCTCGCATGCCCTCGATGTGATAGTTTACCCTGACAATAGAATTCATAGCAGAAGAGAAAGACTTCAAAGTAATCATGCATTTGGAAGCATGGACGGATATCGGACTTCGAAAAAGAAAAATATTTATTTTCAAAACTATATTCTAGAATATTTCAACAATTGATAAGTTCTGTTATTTCAATTTTCAACCAGCGTGCTAGTTTTTATTTATCTATTTATTAAAATATTAGTATGGACGAAGAATCGATTTTTTATTAATAAATTAGATTAGAAAGATGGAATAGTATTATAGGCACGGAATAGGAATCAACACAGACTAAAGTTATATTGAACACACTTTAGAACTATTTTCTCTGATTGAATATTTTAATTAATATAATTATTCATAAATCTACGAGGACTTAAAAAGATTAAGATTTTTTTTTCATCTCGAGTTTAATAAAAACCATATAATTTACCCATCGCCACAAAATCAAGCGTAGAAAGTGTATAAATCAAGCAACGTGTATTCTTTGACAGTCATAAAGATGGGTGTAAAAACCATGTGACGCTATTTGGCTACAGTTTTTACAACTCTATAGCCGAAACCAGTGACAATTAAACGTCACCGGTTTAGGCGTCCAACTATCGCTATAGATAATTCTTTGGTTATTGTATTCCGAATCTTGACCTTAACTACTCTCTTTCGATGAATTATAAGCGAATTGAATTTCAGATAATTAGTGACTGGTTTCCAACAACTTTCCAAAATGCCGGTAGTATTCTTTCCCGTCACGTCGATATCAACAAACTGACTGCCGAATGGAAAGTACCGTTAAGATATTCTTGATAGTAATGTTACCATTCAACCATCCAGTTCTTATTCCTCAAAAAGCTGCACTAACTTTATTTCTACTTTTAGTTCTGTATATTGACTATTTACCATTCTTTATTATCTAAACTAATAAAAATAAACATATTTAAGTTGTCTACTGTATATAATAGTGGGATAAATGTGATGGTGCTGCAATAACGGGAATTGAGGTGAGGTTCCTGAAAGTTCTGGAGATCTATTATCGACCAATGTATTTGACTGCGTACTTGAAACAGTAGTTCTATAAATCTCGTTATATAGTGGTATAATGTAATATTGGTTATGACGAAGTGTAATTAAAACCTCGATATAACGAAGTTTGAATTTTGCAATAACTTAATAGTTCGCTATAAAAAGTATAGTAAATCTCTATATAACGAAGATTCCAAAAATTTTTACTAATTATCCGGCCACCTTCGTTATATCCAGTTTTGACTGTATCGCGAAATATTATTTGAAGAATTATAAATTGTATCATCAAGGAAAAGTAACAATAATATCGAACCTGTTTTTCGCTTTACCTGGAAACGACAGAAATCCCCTTTTTTTTGGTTTCTGGTATTGTTTCTTTTTCTTTATAAACTCGCTTTCTTCGAAATCTTTCAAAAATTCGCATTATTTAACTTTAATTGAAAAAAAGCTTTTATCTCAAAATCTAGTCTATGAAACTATCTTTTATGTTCTAATTAAAAATGTTCACTACGAGATTTTACTATTTACCAAATAACCTTGACCCAGAGCCAACCCCTTTTCGCATCGTTGACGTCATCAAAAATTGTCACATGACCCAAGCTTTTGGTGGTCGCGGATTCTAGGAATATGACCAGAGTTAGGGTAAGAATTAGGGTTAGTGCTGGGGGATAGTCTATATTTGGTTTAGATTTTGATTTGGGATATATCCCGTTGTCAATTGGGGCAGATTGTGATTTGGAGCACAACGTATATATATATATATATCAAAAATTTTTCATGGAAGCGATTAAGGAACACGGAGGAAAAAAAGGTACAGATATTATGAAACTTCATGCAAGACCAGCTTCTTATATATAACAAATTTTCAAGTCACTGCGAATTTGCGGTGATGAGTTGACTGCTAACGCTAATAGATCTTGATCAATTTCGGCAAATTGCAACAGACTTTTATTATTGAAAGCAAAAAAGCAATAATTTGGAGCTATAACGGGGAAGTAGGAAAAAGTCAACAACGAAACAAATAACTAGGGCACTTTGGGCACGAACGCTTCAAAAAAGGCACGGGCTTGAGAAAAGAAAGCCCATCATAATCATTTATGGAAAATTATTGCAAGTTCCATAACATATCGAGAGAGAAGTTGAATTTTATTTCCCAAACCACATAAAATATGAATAAGGAATTCACACGTTTTTCTTTTTTTTTGGGAAGTAAATACGACTAATCATAGTATTGTATTGATTAAAAAATATACCAAGGCGTCTAAAAATTTTTGGAATATTGATAATTTCTAAAACGACCATTCTTCAAATTGCACTACTAATACTGCTCACTACTACAAATAAAATTTAAGGGAAAATAAATTCATTGACTAGCATGCGTTAAAAGATGAATAATTATAGAGATTAAAAAATATTATTGATAATGTTGTTATAGATAAATGATGATGCTATGAGAATGATGAGTATGCTATTCTAACAATGGATAATGCGGAGATGTTGAACAGGTGAATTTTAAACATTATTGAGCGGCTACTTCGATGGCTTCAACACTAGCTTCGCGTTGAGCTTTTTTATCGTTAGCGAGTTGTCTTGCCTCAGTATGGACGTCAGCAACATTTTTTGTAGTTGAAGTGTAGAAACTGGCCACACGTTTACCAATCGGAGTTTGTAGTGCCATATTTGCTTTATCCTGAGCAAATGCGGCTGTATATTTGACTTTATCTTGTACAGCGAATTTAGCATCGATTACTGTCGCTTTTTCAGTGATTGTTTCGACAACTTTGTATTTGGCATCCAAGTCCCAGAGATTTGACGTTAGAGTTTGTAACCATTGCTTTACACGTTGACTTATTCCGTATGTATTATCGTATTCGAGACCCTTTTGGATAATGTGGTCGGATAATTGATAGCCTGCGGCCAAGATTTCAGCAAAAATTGCCGATTTTGGCTATAAATAGATTTGGAGTTAGTCCAGAAAAAGAAATCAAAAAAAAAAGATTGTTATTTGCAATCGGAGGTGACGAAGTACCTTTTCTTCTTGAGATATTTCTTCTTCAGCATCATACACTTCATCGGCACCATTAGTAGTAAGGTCATCAGCCGATCTGACTGAAATTTGACTATCACCGATTACTGCGTTCGTCAACATGAGAGCGGTTTTTGCAGCGGTTTCTTTGTAACAAATTAAGGTTAAAGGGAAATTCATTTAAAAATAATTTCTCATACTAATATCTTGAATTTTACCTCGTTCAAAAGTAACGTATGCGATTTGTTTATCAGTAGTCTCCTCTTTGAGAAGTTCGAATTCTTTTATTTTACCACAGAACAGAAAGAAATCTTTGACTATAGGGAGAGGAATATTTAAATGATTAATGGCCCGTGATAATAATAAAGAATATCTTTCTTTTTTTAAATGAATTGTACACCAAACAAGATTTACCAGTTTTTTCTGATGCTGTTGCGGAAATGTCAGTAACGATGATCTTGCGAGTCATTTTTTTTATCTGAAAAGAAAATATGAAGTATGATAATATTTATTCGTCTGAAAATTTCTTTTGCAAAGGTGATTTCAACTTACTTATTTATATATCTTCTAGGGGGTTTGAATCCGCTTATGATGATGGTATTAATTGTATAGGTATTTTACTTTATTACTTCGTTCATCCTTATTTACTAAATTCGTTCTTCAGGTGAAAGATAACAATTGTAAATAGATAAACAATGTCGCGTGAAAAATGCGTGAAAAATCGTGTAAACGTGAATTACAGTAACACATGCATCTACTTAGCTATCTAGTTATCTGACAGTTTTTGTGTGTATGCTTTCGGATCAACGCCATACCAAATGTGAAAAAAATTAATTAGTCAATCCGCTCATCGCCATGATATCAAAAAATGCCTCCAATTTTATTATTTATCAATTTAAATCAATTTTAAGACTATCGCTATGTTAAAATATGTATCTTGAAAAGAAGCACGCCACATGTGTATAAGCTATTAACACATGAAAATTATCATGTATACAAATATAACACAAGAAAGAGAATATGCAATGCGCGCTAACGATTTAATGCAAATTACACACATGCATGCAGGCAACAAAAAATGTTATCGTTATCATTTTTTCGGATATCATATGTAAAAAACCAAACATGCAAAGTGCATCGTAATTACATTTGGTATAACCCGTGAAAAAATCAGTTTCATTCACACATCTTATATTCGAGATGAATAATGAATAAATGCTATATACAAAGATTGGCGGAGAAACTTTACTTGCGTGCGTGTATGTACATGCGCGTGATATTGGCAGTATATAAAGATATTTTGTTTGCTAATATCTTCCTTCTTTAAAATGACGCGCGTTTACCCACCTTGAGTTTTGATTCTCATTCGTAAAGATCAATTACTGTGCACTTATTGCCCTGTGATCAAAGCTCACCTCTTTCAAATCAAAACAAGAATATAATTAATGACGTAAATAGCAATAGATTTCTTTTATCAGCATTGTTCCTTATTCCGTTATTTATAAATAAGCTGACAACAATCGATTCGTGTTAGAAGCGTATAGAATTACGTAACATATGACGTTTATACAAATCGATATTAGAATTTTGACTTTGTTAATGACATGTGATCCTATGAAACTTTAGTGCTCCGAAAAAAACCGATATAGCCTCTAAAGTCACATTCTTTGAATTTTACCAAGAGGATGATGCATTACGTATTACGAGTTATTCTAAATAGATTTAATGCACGCTTGGAAATACATTAATAAGTGACGGCTATAAAGAAACTAAACCAAACCATTAGGAGCACTAAATATAACAAATGTTTAGACTACCAACTTCATAACGATAAAATTTTTCTGTTAATTCCAATAAACATTGATGTTTTACCGGAAATGACATGAACTTACTAAAATTTGATATGCATTTTAGAGTAATTTTGTATTAGATAATAACTAACTTGTATGAATCATAAATGCTATCCGTATTTGGAGAATGCTTTAAATTAACCAAATAAAATCATTTAATACTTTATTTTTGTAGATTATTGAAATTATAGCGATAGTTCAAAATTCTTTTATTAATTAAATAACCATCTCATTGATTGCAAAGAGAGTAAGATCGTCACTATGCTGTAATTGAATGGTAATCTTTTTTCTTTCACAATTTTTCAAATCAATGAATCCCGATAACAAAGATATGGATGATGACGCTGAATTTGGCGCATCAGAGCTTGGAATAAAGGAATAGTTTTGTATTGTTATCAATTACTATTATTTATTTATGACGGAATATTTGATTGTTTGACTAAAAATATCTATTTAAATAAATATTTGTTCAGCTGGGACTCGGTTTACGCACGAGAGACTAGAAATTTCATTGCAAATGGTGATATTGGTGAGATTTGGTTTGGTGAAAAGACGGCGGCGAAGATGGTTAATTGGGTACGGAGATGTATTTTATTAAACATCGTTCTCATTATCTTTCATATCTAACGTTTACTTCTATTAAAAGATCCTGAAACATGCTCCAAACAAATCAACAAAGATTTTAGATCTTGGCTGCGGAAATGGCCATATCCTTCTGGACCTTGCTTCACATAATTATACAAATCTCACGGGGATCGATTACTCTCCAGATGCAATCGAATTAGCAAAATCTGTATCTCAAGAACGTGGATATAAGCACATGATAGAATATCATGTAGTTGATTTATTATCTGACAATATACAAATAGGAGCAGAATCTAATGATATTGGATTTGATATTGTGTTGGATAAAGGAACTTATGATGCAATTAGTATGAATCCTGAAATTGTAGCAAAACGAGAAAGAGGTGAAAAAGATTCGTATCCTGGATTGGTAAAAAGATTGTTATCAAAAAAGTCCGAATATAGCATTTTTTTAATTACTAGCTGTAATTGGACAAAAGAAGAGTTGGTGCAACGATTCGGAGATGGTGAGTTTTCTCATTATTCGTTTGTGCTGATTTATAAATTATTTATTTTTTAAATGGCCATTTTTTTAGAGTTTGATTATCATTCATATGTTGAACATCCAACATTTACTTTTGGTGGAATTACTGGACAAACAATATCAACCGTGGCATTCAAATTAAATGAAAAATGAAAAAGAATGGGTTGATTTTTAATAAATATCGGAGATAAGATGTATTATATGCTATTTAAGCAGGTCCAGATGACGCAATATGCATGTATCACGTGAAAATATACTTCTAACTGGCTCCAAAAATGGTGAGAAATATTCATTCAACATATACACACATTCTATCAAAAATATGGAGCCTTGACCAACCTCTACTAGCCAACTTCTTTTCTTTACAAAACCAACCATGATTTCCTCACTTCATTCTCGGTCAAGCGCTATCACTTCTATATTTAAAGAGACTCAGCTATCAAATGCTGCAATAAGTCTTCCAACCGAATGTCTTACGCAGATATTCGAAAATTTCGACGTATGCGATTATGCTGATTTGCACGCGGCACTTTTGGTGAGCCGTAGCTGGTGTAAAGTCGCTGTCGCTTATCTGTGGCAAGCTCCATTTGCTTTGGAAAACTTGTCAATGCGACGGCAGGAGAGCCTCATTTCAGCTTATATAAAGTCTTTAAGTATTGATGCGAAACAGCAACTTATAACAGAGTATGATTTGAAGTTACCAAATCCGTTAGGTATAGAGGCTACTGCTGCTTTTAATTATGCTTTGTTTTTAAAAGACTTGGATATGGAAAGACTTTTTAAGTCAGTTGTGACTTGGTGGGAAGAATCGAGTTGCGAAAAAATCGGATATAAACAAACTCATGTAAAGTTTCTTCGTGATCCCGTAAATCAATCATATACATCAATCATTAACGATAATGATGACAATTATAGTTTGAATTCTGGTGATGATGAAAATACCAAAATTCCTGATAAAGACGACACTAATAAACATGATCTAAATAATACTCTTGCGGACAACACGGATCAAAATCAACAAAAAAGTTCTGCAGAATTTGAGGATAAAACCGGAAAATTTCAGGATAATATTTTTCAAGAGACACGAGAGCGCGAGCGTATACGTCAGGAATTAAAAATGAGGCAAATACAGATGACAATGATGACTCTGTGGCGGCACTTTTATCGATCATCAAAGGTGCACACATTCCGATATAATACCGCACATACGTTATTTCCAGACAACATGAATTTAATATCGACGATATCGCATATTGATTCAAGATTCTTTTCGCGCGTTCAAACACTGGAGATGGGTGAAAGGACTCCGGAAAGAACCTTTGAATTAATTTCATCACATAATTGTCCAGTGATTCATTCATTGAGTGTCAAATATCCAGTGACCGATCAAGCAATTACTGCTTTAGCGAGATTGGTTACTATGCAAGAATCGCTCGAGTATTTATGTTTGCATGGATCTGGAGGCGGAATTCGAAAGATTGTCGACGCTTTACAATACCAATTATCCTCGTTAAAATGCGTAAATCTTTACAAGACACACATTACACAATCACTATTAATTACACTCGGAAATGCACCAAATTTGTCACTGGTTATATTTGATAAATGTCGTGCATGTTTCCTACCAGATTGGAGACCAGCTCGCGATATCACAACATGGCGTGCACTGGAAAAGTTGGTAGCGATTGAAACGGACTTTCCAGAGGAAGTATTGCAAAATATTATTGCTAGTGCAGTTCGTACTTTGTGTGGATTATGGGTGAGGAAGCATGATAACAGATTTGGTGGTGAATTCAATAGAGAGATTTTAGAATATGCAAAAAAACGTTGTATTAATGAACTAATTTCTGATCCTGATCTGCAACCTCAATTACAAAGGCTCGTTTTTGAATAAATTTTTGTTGAGGGGAATTCTATCGGTATTTAAATTTTATAGAGATATAGATATTATTCATTTTCATTTTTTAATACACCGGCAGAATTGGATTCCCGTGAGTTTTCTACTGGACTTTATGGAAGGAAAATAATTTAATAGGAGGGTTACAATAAAAATTGCATATATATCTTTTCATTTGTATATTTTTATTCAGTTTATAAATTGTATAATATATAGAGCATATGTAAATCGGTTATTAGAATTTATGATCCGCAATTTGTAGTGATGAAACTGATTACATAAAGAAATATTCATTGTTTCTTGATATAATAATACATCGAACACAATAATCCCACAATCTGCAAGAACTGCACCGGCTTCTAAATGGCTTTCCTGCTAGTAAATAATTTTTTGTATTTTTTTATTCCTACACAGTTTATCGTTATAGAATAATTTAATAAAATTCATTTAGATATTCTACTCTCTTCCAGAACAACGAGGTGCCGTGTTTAGTTCTAATTTCTAGCATGGTCTCAGGATTTTTTGTTGTCATAAGCTTGAGATCCTCATCTTCTGACCAAAAGTGTACTTTCTTTTGATCTGGAATACTTTTGCCGTTTTGGAAATATTCCGCGACTAGTGGAAAATTGCAGGTAGTTTGATGAGCTAATAATATGACTTCTCTCGAAGTCACTTGGAATTGATTGACAATGGAGTTAATCTCATTGTGAAACTCGGCTACCGTCATTAGCCTTGTCTTTGTGTTTTCTTTATCGGGCTTATTGATAATCTCTTCAAGGTCGGAGAAATCAAAACGTCTTTGTTGTGTTAATTTTCGCATAGGCGTAGATCTTCGTATAGGCGTAGATTTTCGCATAGGCGTAGATTTTCGCATAGGCGTAGATTTTCGCATAGGCGTAGATTGCCACATAGGTGTAGATAGACGTTGCATTTGAAATCTCGAAATGCTTAACGTGGGTGTAGAAGAATTTTCGTTTCGTGATGGAGTTATCGAGGCAATTCCATTATTTTGTTGCTCTTGTTCTGGTTCTTCATTGACGACAATGTGTACTAAAGTATTGTCATCAGATTGAGTTGTGCTCGTACTTCCTTGGCGCAGGTTCGAACTATTTTGCTCCTGTTCTTGTTCTTCATTGACGACAAGGTGTATTAAAGTATTGCCATCAGATTGAGTTGTGCTTGTACTTCCTTGGCGCAGGTTCGAACTATTTTGCTCCTGTTCTTGTTCTTCATTGACGACAGGGTGTACTAAGGTATTGTCATTAGATTGAGATGTGTTTGTATTTCCTTGGCGTAGGTTCGAACTATTAGAATTTTCATTTGGCAAAAAAGGAATAATGCGTTTTTGTGCACGGTCTCTAATAGATTGCCAGGGATGTCGACCGTTTTTTAACAAAGCATAATTCTTATATATAACATTTCCAGCAAGCGGTTCCCCTGCTCGTTTTTTTTGTAATAAATATGCTCTTAATTCTGCATCATCTTGTGGAGTAAAACGAACGCGCTCTCTTCTAGCACCACCAGAGGGTTTTGTGTATGGAAGTTCTGTCATTGTTTTGAATGATTGATTGGCCAATCCATGATCAGAAATCTAGCAATTGGAGAAATTTGATTGGACAAGGCCGATTTTTTCCAAAATTGTACAATTTGTATATATTTAACATTTCAACAAAAAATTTGTGAATTATCCTTACCTACAGTTTCAGAATATCGATATCTGTACTTAGATGATGATTTTATGTCTGGTCAAATCTCAAATAGTATTAACGTTATATAATAAAAAATTCGATTTATCGAGATTTAATTAGTAAATTCGATTTGTCGAGGTGGATTTGCCATAACCGTTTTATTAATGCTTCGTTACATCGAGGTTGAACTGTCCAAGACATTGTATCTTGACTAATCATTCAAATGCTTCTTTCTACACGATGCTTTATTTAGATCATCAGCCAGACATAAGAGCAGACACAAGGTCACTACAAAAAAAAATACGCTCATCTGATCAATAGCAAATGAACCTGCAAACCTGTTATAATAGAGCGAGATATGGAGAACAAAACTTGTTATTATCATATATAGATCAGCATGGAAATACCTGTCTCATAATGATACTCGATCTATAAAATTCTTTAGTTATGTATAGCAATCAGCTCGATAAACAATTTTTTAGTATGAGATGTCGTCAAATCATTATTTCGTTAGTTTGATAAACAAAAATAACGATTTTACTGCATTTTGAAAAGTATGAAACGGATGAATTTTGAGCGTTTTAAATGCTGAAAAGCTGAAAGAAGAAAGGATTACAGATTATGTTAGAATTGTTGTAAAATATAAAATAAAAAGTGTATGCAACCTTTGTTGATACATGGAAAATCATAAAAATAATAAAAGATACAGTACAATAAATATAAGTTCTTATAAACCACAAATTTTAGGTACCACTCTTAGCCCCAAAAAGTTGCCACATAAATAAAAAACAAAGTTATGTATGTTTCTTTCCTTGTATTACAAGGATACTTGCCGGCACACCACCAACCAAAAGCCCTTCAGCAGGAATCCCTAAAGATTTCCTTATCAGATTATCATGTGAATAACCCATCATTCCATCTTTCTTGATCAATTCTATCCATTCCTCGCGATGACTTATGGCGGCATTTACCCGTCCTCGACCAATTACCACCAAATCTTTTCGGCTTACTACTTCCTTTGCTCGTTGAATTACAGTTTGCATAGGAGTGGTAGAAACAACTTCGTTATATGATATTTTCGAATTAGATATTAAAGCACCTCGTCCAACATCAAAGTAATGAGAGATTAAGGTTTGGTCAGCTTCTTCAGAGACTCCTCGGTCAACTGTATGATCACCGACATTTGGTATTGTAGCAGACGAAATTTGATGTGTTAGAGATGGTCGAGTTAATGCTGCGTCTGCTGTTATCTCGTCTCGTTTTTTCGTATTAGCGTCAAATTTTGAATCTGTGACAACCGATATCGAGGTGTCATTAGCAATTGATTCGGTGAATTTTTTAATTCGTAATATAACAATAGCTGAGATATATGGATGTTCTATTAATCGAGCGACAAATGTCAATGCCTCTCGATCATCAATACCTCCAAAGAATGGGAAGAAAATTTTGATAGTATGAGATGAATCCGATTCCAAAGAAAAGCCTCCAGGCACTACTCCAAGACCTCGATCCACAAATACTCCGACATTTGTAGACACTTCGCTAAACACTTTTTGAACAAAATGAGCAGTATGTGGACTAGTGTTCTTATTCTCACGTGATCCCATAATAATATCATGGGAATTAGAGGGATCCTCAGTAATAGTTCCTGCACCAGACCATGGTATTATTACTAGATCGGATGATGTTTCTTTGGCACTTTGTGCTACTCGATCGGGAAATTCGTCGAATCTAACAACCGCTAAGTTTGCTTTTACATTAACGAAATGCATTTGTCCAAATGTCCGAAATACATTCATAATAGGATCATGAAGAATAGTCTCTTCTGTTTCATGAAGTTTCATTATAGTTGTCAAACGCTCAGTAAGTTCGATCAATCTAAGAGCATTAACGGTGATAAGATCTTGAGATGATATTGCTGGAGTACTACTATCCAAAAGAATTGCCTGATGGTTTGTGCTATTTTCTGTTTCAACCATTGATTGAGGTCTTTCTTTTTTCTCGCTTGAATTTATTGCTAACGGTTTCGTGAATGATCGCGACGGTCGTAAAAGTTGAATTAATGTCATCATTGCTGGAAGATATTCGACATGATTCAAGACCACCAAAATCTTGTTTGGTTGGGTTTTTTCGCCAAGAGTATCGTCTGATCCTCGAGTTCTTATAGTCTCAATAGCCAATTTGCCATCATTTCCAGTTTTATACGGGTATGACTTATGATATTTTCTTGGATATAAATAAGTTACAAGTGGTGTCGTAAGACAGGTCGTCACAATAGCCCTGTATTATTAAAAAAAAATATATATATATATTAAAAACGATTGTTTTTTGCATATTATGAGCAAAAAGACCAGCATTTTTTTTCTTTTACTTACATTACTACCAAAATTGCAAAAATTTTAGCACTGATGACTTTGGCATCGAGACCGATATTCAAGACAATTAATTCAACCAATCTAGATTATATAATATAAATAAAAAGGAAAGAATTAATATACTTTATGGTTAAATAGTATAATATATTGATTATATACCCTTTACAACTCATGAAGACACCAACTGTTAACGACTCTCTCCATGACATCTTGCCAAGTCTAGCAATCAGCGTAACGCCACAAATCTTGCCAAACATCGCGACAAATATAACCAAGAAAACATATCCCCACAATGTACCATCATCTAATAGACCAATTTGAGTTTTGAGACCAGAGAGAGCAAAATACTAGAAATAAATTAATATTTCAAAATTATGGAATTTCATTTGAAAATATCAAAAAACAATCAAGTAATTATGAAAATATTTACCAATGGTAAGAAAATAATATGAACTAGATCTTCAAGCTTTTCATTAATGCCCAAAGCGAAACCTCCATCATGTGGTATAATAACTCCGACCATAAAGCCACCAAAGATGGCGTGTACACCAATGCTGTCTGTCACAAAGGCCGATATAAAAACGAGTAACAAAGTGAGTGACATCATTGTCACACTAGGCCCATTATCATTGCTCCCAGTCGTAACAATTATTCGAAGCAGAATAGGACGTATCACAAAGGCTAAGATCAATGTCCATGCGAGGGCAAGAAGGAATACGTATAATGCAGTAAGAGTATTGGATGAATTCAGGATCGATACCACCAAAGCAAGTAATACCCAAGCGGTTACATCGTCACCAACAGCTGCACATAATGCTGTAATTCCAACATTAGTTCGAAGTAATTTAAGCTCTGTAACAATACGAGCAAGTACCGGGAATGCCTAAACAATGAAATCATTTAGTTAATAATGTATAATCCATAACAAAGAATAAATAAATTAATCACGTACTGTTATCGACATTGCCACACCTATAAAGAGTAAGAAATTGGGAAAAGTCACATTGGGAAGATTATTCACATCATATAACCCATAGCCTACAGCGGTACCAAGAGCAAAAGGAAGAATCATTCCCGCGGCAGAGATACTCAAAGCGATCTTGGCATTACGCGTCAATAATCTTAAATCCAATTCCACGCCAACCAAGAACAAGTATAAAACCAATCCTAGATCAGCGACGAGTTTAAGGTATGGAAGTGAATCAGCGGGAAAAATCGTACTATTGAAACGTGGGATATTTCCCAATACAGATGGCCCAAGGATGATTCCACCAAGAACTTCAGAAATGACGCGAGGTTGACGGAAGCGAGAAATAAAAACATTTAATCCACGCGTAGTAGCTATGATAATCGTTGCCTGTATTATCATTAAAGACGATTAGTGAACTTCGTAGTCACGTGTAGATATAATAAACACGTGTTTATGAGAAGTTACCTGAATGATAAACAGTACAAGAGGGTTTGACTTGTTGTAGGCCGCTGGATTGTGACCCGAAATGACACCTCCTTGGTCAGTAGCAACCATATTTTTAAATTTTTTGAGAAAATTGCTCAGAAAAAAGACGCGGGAACTTGTTAAATAGTGAAAAAATTAGACCTCAACAGCTAGAAAGAAATTTTGGTCATTTTTTAGAGTAATTTTTAAAACACGCAATTTATAATTCTTTTGTTTAGTTCCAAAAAAATCACGTAATTTCATCAATAGATCAAATCAGGCCTTATATCATCAATAATAGCCGATAATATCATTACCCCACCCCAAACAAAAGAAAAAAAAACAGGAACTACCACTTGTTTTATTTTATCCCCAATCGGATATAAAGTCAAAATGCCGTCCTACCTTTCATTCAGTTGTGTTACCTTTTTAAGGTTCAGGATAACTGTTTTTTTCCCACAACATTCATTTTTTTGGACTTCAAAAGAAGGACAAGGGAAAAAATTACATTCTTATGCTTGTGTGTCTATGTAGAACATTCGAAATTTAGGTCGTGGGAAAAAAAAATGCTGCCCCAGTCTGCAAAACGCCCACTTTATCAATTTAACTTAGTTGCATCCGAGTAGCCTTAAAATATTGGTGTGACTATTTTATATAGTACCCTCATTGGTAGAAGACATTATATGACTGACGTTACTTCTGAATATAAAATTCAGTTTTACAAGTTTTACAAGAATGAAACCAACTGAAACCAGTAAAAATATATGGATCGCTGCTGGTATATTATTTATATTTTTGCTGTGATTTTTTCTAATTGCAGTATTACAGTAGTGTTAATTAACGCGATCGTAGGTGATGGTGAAATAGAACGAGTACAGGTAAAATAAAGGCTAATTTACCACATAAACCCACCTGGGGTCTGTTACATTTTCCCCTTGATTTTTACCCCCAGGAATTCAGAGAATGCAAGTACAAATCTATAGTAAAGGGTGACAAATTATGGTTCACATTTCGTGAAATTTTAATTACCGTGAAATTTTTAATTACCATGAAATTTTAATTACCGTGAAATTTTTAATTACCGTGAAATTCCCTTGGTAGGAATTAATATCTCGAGGCATTTCGCCGAATGAAAAAGATCAAAATGGTTATACACCTTTGGCAGCTGCAGTTTCTTACAATCATATAGCCATTATAGAATTATTGATTTCAAATGGCGCAGATGTGAACATTCGTGATAATGAGGGCGATACACCATTATGTGTTGCAGAAACAGTGGAGGCCGCTCAGTTACTGTTACAACACGGGGCAGATCCATTTATCAGAAATACCGAAGGGAAAACGGTGAGAATTGTTAAACACTAATTGAAGTCTGCTAGATTTACGCGTTTTTCATATAAAATTTTATTTCCCAAAGCCAGCACAGGTCGCCTTTGAGGAGGAATGGTTGGATGTAGCTCATCTTTTGAGATCAATAACCGGAGAACGACAAAACGATTCTGAAGCTGAATAATTTCCATGTTCTAAATAACGGCGATATCGAATACACTAAAAGCTTTTAAAAATTCTAAGTTAATGTACAAAGAAATGAAATAAATTATATAATTAATAAAATTTAATTGCATATAGTTCAAGAAAAGTAATCTTTTTTTGCATTAAGATTTTTGTATTGCAATCCTTTAAAACTCAATCATAGATTTCTTTGCTTCATCAAAGAAATTTGAATTTTTCATAATTTGAAATGTTCATTATTATCGATATAAGAATAGTGACATTTATCATCTAATTTCTTGGAAAAAGGATCTAATTGAAGTTTACTAGAATTAATAAATTTGAAAATATATGGAACATGTTTAATAAACAGCTTTTTTTAATATTTGTTTTTAATTATTACTTTTATAAATTCAAGATTTTTGAACTTAATTTCTTAATAATCAAAATGGCGCAGCTTTTATAAGTTCAAATAGTTCAATTAACAACTTTGTCATTTTTTACTATTAATATTGTTAAATGTTAATGTTAATTAATTATTATAATGTAATTATAACTTAATATATATTTAAAAAAAGCAATTCTCTTTTAAAAATGATAATTAATTTAACTTGACAATTAATAAGTTTTAAACAAGCAAAATAATAATAATTATTTCATGTTCTAATGTTATGTAAATAACGATATTTTAATCACGTGTAATAATGCAAACCAATTTTTTTATTACATGATTTACATTATGATAATTCGAACTAGCACAATGATAATTTATCATTAATATCGATATAGTGCCAGTCTGAATTATAATAAATGCCAAACCAATAAACTCACGTTCATGTGATAAGTATTCACGTGATTTGTTTCAAATTTGAATAAAAGTGATCAAGTTTAAACATTTGTAATTCATATTATCTATAATCATCAAATAATTTTATATAATTTCAAATTGTATTTACTTTTCCAAATTTAGTAATATTAAAAAAAATAAATTATAAATATGATAAACTAATTTCTTTTTTAAAATTATGATTTAGTTTTATAAATTATATTATATTTTGTAAAGTTATTAAAATTTAAAATCAATTACTTTATTATTAATTTTTAATTTTCAAATGCTAATTAATTAGCTTTTAACCAATTAGCAATTGTTAAAGTCATGTTATCACATAATAATATGATCACAGATTATTAAAGCATGATGAATTCATTATTCTCAGAATAAATATTTAATTAAATCTTTTTGTAATTGCTTTTCTAATAATAATGATTTTTTAATATTTTTTAATATATTATTAAATATCTATTTTTATATTTGTGTTTTTCTTTTTCAGATTTCTTTTTTTTGCATTTTATTTTAATCTCTTTGTTCAGTTTTTTTTAAATTTTTAACATGTAATTTTTTTGCATTTTATTTTAATTTCTCTATTCAGTTTTTTTTAAATTTTTAACATATAATTCTTTTTATATTCTATTTTAATTTTTCTATTTACAATTTAATCAATTATATAAATATATTTAGCTTTAACTTTAACAAACTTTGAAATAAAACACAAAAAATTTATATTTTTCTTGTATTAAAAGTAATTACAAATTTTGTTATATATATTTAAAATTTAGTTTTTTAAATATAATTTCATGAAAATTTATTTAAAAATTATAAAATTCTATATATAGTGACAATCAAAAATAATACAACAATATCAAAATTATTAATTAAATATAGTAAAATATGAATTTTTTCTTTATATAAAAGTTTTCAATTTTATTAATAAATATTTTTTATTTTTATATTAAAATGAAGATAATATCATATATTTTAAATATATTTTTTCAGATTTTTTAAATTTAATCTGATAAAGCTATTCTAATTATATATAAAGTCAATTATTTTTTTTATATGTTTTAATTATAAAAAAATAATTAATTTTATATACAATTAGAACAATTTTATTAAATTAAATCTAAAAAAAATATATGTTGTCATGATATGACATTTGACGAACAATCTTATTGGATAAGATTTATATTAATTATTATTGAATTATATATATTAGTATTTCTATTGGATAGTTAT